ATGGCGATTACCTATTAAAACCTGGTTCTCACTTAATTATATATAATTGCTTTTCACATCTGTTAAACATCGAGTGAGACATGGTAGCATAAAATTATGACATTAAGAGCATGATTCATTATTTCTGCATATTGAACTTCAAAAACTCATTTATTTGACTGATGGCCGTGTTTTAAAAAATCCCATGAAAAGAAATACAGATTAAATAACCTAGGCATTTATTTTTCCCCTTTGGAATGAACAGATAAGTCATATTTTGCATAGCTAAAGCAGATGATTAACTTTATCTAATAAAGCGATTGTTCCATTACCTTATGCGTTTACTGTCAAGTTATCTGGTTTTGCTTTTAATGAGGTGCAAACCAGTACGTGAGGTGAGAGAGTGAACAATAAGGTGCCTTTTCAAGTAAAACTAGAATAAAGAGAGGAGCTCCATTTATTAATATTTATCTTAAATTATAATCTTTTATGTTATAAAGAGAAATCTTAGTCCCTGCTTCTTTCACATCTAATAATATCGATAGACCATCGTGTTCCATTACGTGTCTGGAATGTCATTAAGTAGTGTGCTTTAATTTTCATGTAGTTTAATAAGTATTTTGTATGATGTCACCATATCAGCATTGCTCTAAAGTAAAATTCAATTAATTCATTTTATATTCTTCCCAAAACGGTCCTGTTTTATGGGCGACAGGCTACACCACCACTTGATCCTATTTTCTGTCCTTGGAGAATGCTGAAATCTAAAATGAAAGTGTTCCTGAGTCCAAATTCAACTTGAGTAATGTTAGCCTAGAAAGAGACAGTAAGAAAAATCACCATATTTGTTTTTGTGCAAGACTTAAGTAAGATATAATTTTGGGGGAAATCAGTTATTGTTTGTAGTTGTGAGATTGACTTCAAATAAGACATTGGCTTTCTGATAATCTCAGGCAAGAGAGTTGCTTCTGGGACCTTGAAACATTTTGGTTTAATGGGATAATCTTAATTTATCTCTAAACAATCACTTAACTGCATATTATGTTCTTATGAACAATGTTTGTAAGAATCAGATATATTCCTGTCTTAAAGGAATTTCCTGCATGGTCTGGCTAAAAGGAACTGGACCTTTTTATTGATGAGCAGTTATGATAGGACCTGATTCAAGTGATCAAAATTCTCAAAAACACGGACAACAAAGTCAGTCCAGTGGACTGATTCAGGATCTGCAGTGAAACGTGAACCAGTATAAACTACATTGAAGTGCATTGGAAAAATGGGTGACACAGTGGTGCAGTGGTTATCACAGCTACTGTATCACACACCGCATGGGTCCAATGTTGGTAAGGTGTATTTGCATGGAGTTTGTATGTTTGCATGGGGTTCCTCCGGGTGCTCAGGCTTCCTTCGCCAGTCCAAAGACAGAAAAAAGAGAGCAAATACTTAAACCACAGTTTGATGAGAGACTACATACAGTTCTGTGTGCTAAAGTTGTTGGAAATCAATTTAATCTAAGAACTGTGTGCAGAAAAAAGACTAAAGCAGTAGCAGATCAGTTACAGGCACTGGTGATTAAGAGTCCGGTCTCAGAGGTTGAAATAGATGTACAAGTGAAAGGTGCTAAATCTCTTCAGTGTAGGACAAAGGACATTGACACGATATTGATTTATAAAATCATAATGGTATACATATGGTCACCCCAGGAAACCAAACTACACACATTGCTTTATACAAAAAGTTGTGGATATGTGAAAGCATTCAACCCATTTCAGTGCTGTGTTTCTGTCGAAACCCTGACTGAAAAAGGTTTAAATAGCTCTTGAGATGTAAAATGAGATTGTAATTAAACTGCCACCACCTGCTCCAGATTGTTTTGCAGACAAAGGAAATAAGGTGGTAGTTGTTAGGTGTGATGGCAGTAGGCTTTAGATTTATTCAGATTTATACTGTACTTGATGGTGGATGAACTCAATATGCACAGCAGTTTAGCAAACAATTTAAAGAGAATTTAGTGGAACATACAGACAGTAATAAAGTTGCATAGTGTGTAAATAATTGTTATTTGATACAACTGGTAGCTATTAAAGAGTCCTCTAGTGAGGTGAAAGCTGTGTGTAATTGGACACTTAAAAGCAAACATTTTGTTTGTGGTTTTACTAACAGCATGATTATATTGTAGCAAGCTCTGTGTTTGAATTTATAGGTAAAAAGTGAAGCAAATAATTTGTAGTGATTTCTCAAATTATGAGAAATATATACATATATACATATTTGAAAGAAAAACTAAAATAAACATAAATGACTTACTGTAAGTCTTAGGTGTTGAACTTTCATTTGTTTGCCATAGTATTTAGATTACAATTGATATCATATTAAATTTAGGTTTATTATAGTAAAATAGAGAAACAAGTTCTTATAGAGTATTATCTTCTTGTGTATTTTAATCATAGCCTCAGCTTAAATTGAGTCTTGATTGGACTTCAACAGTTTACCATTGTATATGATGAATGAATACTATTAAACCTTAGGGTTTCATTGTTTATATTTTTTAATTTCTCTTTTATTCCTCCATATTTGCACATTCATTTTTTTCCCTTTGCAATGTTTATGTGCATTCACATGTATTATTTCAAACTTTATTTTTATTAAAAGGCTGCTTCTTCAGTGAACTTTCTGATAAATGCATTTTTCTCCATTTTTCCGAGCATTATGGCCAAAATGTCTTGCCTTATGTAATACAGCTGATGATGTTTCTGGTTTTCATGAAGATGAGATTCTTAATTTTTCAAAGTGAGGAACAAGGAGGCCTTAGAGTACTTGAATGTGAAAAGTAACCTGATGTTGAGTTTAGCAAAATAATTATTCAATGAATAGTAACCACTCATTGTTGAAAACCTATTGGAATACAAGATTTAAGATTAAGCAGCATTTCTTTGCTGCTGTATGCAGTGAAATCTGGAATTAAATACATGCCAGACAAAAGTTTTGATATTTGACTTTTCATAAACAAAATGTCCATTTATTGTGATAGTGTTCCAAAAATAACGGTGCTCTCTTCAAGCTACATTGTTTTTTAAAAACATGTGTGGTTATTCTTCAGCTTGATTTTTCAAAGTGAATAGCATCTTATATATAGGCTACACAGTATTATGTCAATTAAGGTAGAATCGGAGACATGTCACTGCTGTCAGTCATGTTGGTGGACCTAAAGGGTGCACTCTTCCCTCTGGGCCAAACGTTCCAATTACTGGAGCAAATTCGGGCCTCAATTTGTGCTTCAGGGTGCGCTATCACCGGTGCCTTCCTTTTGGTGAGTTTTAGTAATAAGAAAGTTTATTTTTGAAAATGTTTGTCCACATCAAGACCAGTGTCTGCACAGCACCCCCATTTTTATCAGTATGTTGTGGCGCTCTCGGGTTCACGTGGGGCATGCACCCTCGCTGCTGCCGCCTCAGGTCGGCCCCACCGATGGGGACTCGAACCCGGGCCTCTGGGATTACTCAACAGGGACCCAGCCAGTTGAGCTACCGCGCTGGTAAGCCGGCTCTCACGACCTGCAATGTCCACTGTATGCATATTTATATATCCATCTATATATTAGGACCATGTAAAGCCTAAACTGCTACGAGTGGTTTTGAGTTATGGATATTTTCTGTCTTCAGTTGTACATTCGCTTTTGAAAGATTGACTTTAAAAAGTCATCAAACATTGTAGCCAGGCATCTGTAACAGCAGTGTTGTGATATTGTTTTGATAAAACCTCAACACTTGTTCATTTCACAAAACTTGCAGCATTGTTTGCCTAAAGCAGTGAGCGAAATGTGAATATAATTATGAATGTAATTACAGTGACTAATGGCTGTCGTTGGTGAATAGGGAGAGGTTTATGATGTGGTAGCGATTAGGAGTGGATTACAGTTGTACATTGCTTCTGTGCTGAGCTGACTGAATGCTTTTCTGAACACAATTGAGTTTCCCTCAATGTTCTCTCCTGGCTGATGAAATAGTCAGCGTTCTGGACTTGTTTCTCCATTCTGGAGGATGCAGTAGCAATAGAGAGAATAGATTGAGAAGAATGGAATGGCAAAATGGCCAAGTCAAACTCATGTACAGTATATAGTAGATGTATAGCCTGGTTTGTGTCCTGCAATTCAGATGTTAAAAGTCAAAGGAAGTATTGATCTGATGTCATTAACTCTCTTAAAATTATTTTAGTAACAGTACCCCTCAAATTTCAAAATTGGCCATTATTTAAATATACAGCTTATAAAAAGGTTTTGATAAGTTTGTCCTTAAAACAATAAAACAAGAATGAAAATATTGCTAAAGTCTGATGCGGTTATTGGCATATAACTAGGAATTTGCTGACCTTATTGGATTAAGTTGCCCCTTGAATACACCAGTGCACTCTCCGGAATATGGACGTCTTTCCATTCCCAATACAGACCTCATTACCCTGAGAGATTGTGCTTTCTGTTCGGAAGCTCCAAAGCTGAAGAAATTAAGAACAGTTACAAACCAAAAGTGGCTGTTTACAACTGCTTTCGTGCCAATGGAAAGATGTTGGAAGGGTATGCACAGGTTGTTTATGTAATCTTAGCCATTTGTTATGTTTTGATCTGAGGTTGAGGCCAACGCGTTCAGCTCTAAAATGTAGAAACAGTCACAATTAGGTCTTCAACACTTCCTGGCTGTTAATGAATGAGAGCAGCCACACTGCCCCTCTTCATCAAACGTTTTTGTTGTTTACAAAAATAGAATTAAGGCTTCAAATGAGGAATGGGAAAATCCTCCCAGACATTTTTTTGTCAGTGTACTTTTGTCGACATGAAAAAAGGATACAAAAACAGAACTAGAATAAAATCCAATACATGTTGCAGTAAGTATGAAAAATGTGAAATGCACACGTTCGTGATTTAGATGTGAAAATAGGGAAGGATATGAACTCAACGGTCATACAACTGCTAATTTCTGCGGCAGAAAAAAAAGACATTGCTGGATACATGTGTCACTGTTTTGCAGGAGGCAGCAACAGAAAGTGCTGGGAGCCATGGAACTTCTGAAGAGCGAAAGGAGAAGGTGCCAAGCCCTCATCTGAGCCAGTTAGTGGTATTAACAGCCAGCGAAACACTGTATGGACTTGCAGAAAGAGTGGTTGCCACAGAATCCCTGTAAGTCCTGTATTCTCTTCACTGCCAAAATATCTTTTCTTACCCACTAGAGCAAGCCCAACAACAGCGCAACATTCTCAAAATGAGTAGCTGTCCTATTTGAGCTGAAGGTGTAAGTCTGTGGATACATGTTCCAAAGGATGCGCTAGTGCTTGCTTTTGAGGTATTAGACGTTATAAATTTATACTGTGTAATGTTTGCAATATTACTAAACTGACATTGAGTACTGGGTACGGAATGTGTCCTGGGTGTATAAGAGTAACCGCGATCATCATGCTTTCTCATTTCACAGGTTCAGCCTTAGTGCCAAAAAGCTTAGTTTAGTGCTGTATCGTGTTGTTCTATTCATGCGCCATGTGTAAGAACAGAATGTGTGATGTTTGTAACTTTGTCTAGAAGCATAAGATGCTTCTTACCACAAAGTACCCAAAGGTGAAGATTTCTCAGAGACCAAGGACTTAGTAAGAGGTTTGTTCCATTATGAAACCAGCAGCTATATCACCCTGCAACTCACAACTGGCGACCCACTGAAGTTCAGCAGGTATGTGCCTGCTCAGTACCTGGATGGGAGATCTCCTGGGAAAAACAAAGGGTGCTGCTGGAAGAGGTGTTAGTGGGGCCAGCAGGGGGCGCTCACCCTGCGGTCTGTGTGGGTCCTAATGCCTCAGTATAGTGACGGGGACACTATACTGTAAAAAGGCGCCGTCCTTCAGATGAGACTCTCTATGGTCATTGAAAATCCGAGGGCATTTCTCGATAAGAGTAGAGGTGTAACTCCGGCGTCCTGGCCAAATTTCCCCCTGGCCTTTACCAATCATGGCCTCCTAATAATCCCCATCTCTGAACTGGCTTCATCACTCTGCTCTCCTCCCCACTGAGAGCTGGTGTGTGGGGAGCGCATCTTCCAGGTGGGTGCTGAGCAGTCAAGTTTGCAGACAACACTAAAGTAGAAAAATGAGCAAATACCACTAGAACGTAGATAAATGTATGGTTTTATATGCAGGAAGCAGAAACAAACTCTAAGTACAGCTTCGGAAACACTAAGATAAAAGAGCCTGCTTATGTAAAGCATACAGTTGTGGTCATCGCATAATACGATGCTGTTTTGGATGTATTCTGGGCCTTAAAGAAATGGAAATGGACAAGCTGAAGGAACTGAACCTTTATTGTCTTGAACTGAGAAGGCTGCGAGAGGACTGGGTGCAGTCCTCCAATGCCCTGGCGAAGTGGAATCAGCGGTGACACACACACACACCTAAGGACACCAGCTGGAACTCCTTGGAAGTGAAATTAAAAGCTGAGAACAGGAGGCCCTTCTTTACCCAGAGGGCTGTGGGAGGAAGGGACAAGCTGCCCAGTCATGTTGTTAAAGCCGGCTCCTTAGCTGCTTTCAGGAATCTGCTAGATGGCTCTTTAGATCAAATGGCTACTAACAAACAGTCTAGATCAGCCTTCACTTGCACCCACTACCCACTCGTACAGTATCATTTCTCTTTTCTCTCTGTGCTTTTGTATGGTCAAGTAATCATATATCTGACCATCTCAGACTTTATCCTTAGCTTAACTCATATTATCTTCATTACAGTGTATTATTTAATACAACGCGGTTGTCATACATAGCCTTAAACTTACATTTGCCAAATACATCTTAAATAAGTGACTTCATTGATTCGTATATGTTTCGATTTTCTTCTCCAATCCAAATAATATTGAGATTTTCAAAGCACTATTAAAATATGCTTCCTGTGTAATGTTTCTCTTATAAATTGACTCTCTTATGAATTGACCCTTTCATCAATTTACATTATGCTCTTCACAAATCCTGCCTTCTGATCACCAGTCTTGTGTCTGCACTTTCTGACTGAAACAGACTTGGAACCCAACAACAATTTTTCTATTGCATTGGAAACCTAGTTGTGTGTCTGGATACAAAAATGCTACTGTCTTGGTTGCCAGACGGCAGAAAGCAAATGCGAGAGGAATGTTAAAGAAGTGTGAGGCAGGAAAAGATAAGCTTTTAATCTCAGAGACAAAACTTTAGAAAACATTTACGTCACAGTTACTGGAAGGCAAAGACCAGTCTCTCTCCGGCACTGATCACGGACAAGCCCTTCACTGCACAGATTTCAAAGTAGTGAAAAACTAACAACCCAGTGAGTAGCATATATACATACATGGAATACCTAATGTCTGAATATCGCCATTAGCAAGGTTAACAGGATCTTTCAAAGGTTATCTCTTGTGTAACACCTCATTTATTCTTTCCTTAATGGAATAATCAATAGATAAATTGACCATGAGGTTGTACAAAGATCAGACTTTCTGTTGACTAAATGCCTGTTTATATGCACCAAGGCAGATCAAAATTAAATTATGTTCAATCAAGCTTCAGTGTATCTTGTGGCATAAACACGTGACTTTAAGTGTAACTCACATAATGCAGTTTTCACAGTTCTTCGTTATAAAAAGATGCACAAGGGCTTATTTGGAAGCTTGGTGCCATATTTAATGCTGGGTGTGTTTCTTAATTCAAATAAGCTGTTTGAGCTTTGAAATAATTCTCCTCATTCTTTGATTGCAATTCATTTACTTTATTTTAAAACATTCTAGGTATTTCTGAAATTTGATTTCTGAAGCAGCGTTTGATTGGTTGAATTTAATTTTTTTTTTCTAAAAGGGGTGTTAAAATACTTGTAGTCATCTCTGTTTAAGACGAAAAAGGTTCAGTTCAATCATCATGGCAATGAAGGACAATCCAGAATGCATCTGGTTTTCTCTTCCAGAGCAGCAGCTTTTCTGTAGCATAGTGACCACATTTTACTCAGTATTCTAAGTCAGGATTTACTGAACAAAATTGAACAATTTTATCAAGCCATCCCTTGATTTAAATTCTAGACTTTTTTTTAGTATATCTCCCAACATTGTGTTTGCCCTTTTATTGCTGTAAGTGATCAGTCAATAAACTCTTAGTAAACACCAACTAAACATCAAAGGGTTTTTCATGATTAGCCTCTTCAACCTCATCTGCACTTATCTACAGTACATGACATGACCTCTACCGGGTGTTTTCCCAGTCTTGAATTTTATCTAAATCTTTTTAAATTTCATTGCCTGCTTATAATGTTTGCTAATCCTATTTTGGGATAATCTGTATATTGTCTGTTATACATAATTCTAAATGCACTGATCCTGCTGAGATAACCGTCACCATAGGAAGCTGAATAATGTTCTTACTTTGACTAAAACCGTGTGCTGCATTAAAAATGTGACTCGCATTAATTGTGGCAATAACTAGGAGTGTTTTGAGAATTTGCCTGGAGAGCAAACCATTTCAGTGCAATCTTTGCGTGTCTTATCTATCCAAAAATAATCAAATTAGTTGTATTTTTACTCTCTGATGTTATATCTCTGCTGCTTTCGCTTTTGTAGATGAATAATGGGTAAGAATGAAACCACATATACTGAGATACATTCAAAACACAAGTGCATTAGTTTCAATACTCATTTACTGAGTTTTCAATGTTTGCCTTGTATATAAGAAATAGTATAACTAATTTCTATGAGTCAGTCCGCATTATGATATCTAACTTGAAATGTACTGTGGTACACAGCTTTTGTGACCTAGCACATTAGCTATTTCCATAATTTTGTTTAAGTAATTGTTGGTTAAAATTCAAACTGTGTGCAACCTCGATCAGTATGCACCCTTGTTCAGTAATTACTCCTCAGGTTTGCTCACACTTTATTGTCTTGAGTTCCTCGGAGAGTTGCAAGAAAATTGTTTTCGCAGGGTAATAACTTTGTGTAATTGATTTATCCATATCAAGTGGAAAGAAAAATTTAAATAGTTTGAATTCCCTCAACCACACATTCACATGAGATGGTATGTTTATTGAAATGTTTTTTTTTCTGTATTTAAATATTGAAGAGGTGTGAGTTACACACAGCTGAGGACTCTTGAACAATATATAAAAAAAAATTCTTTATGGTGGAAAATAAATCGTTTTCTCAATGGCAGGTATAGCAGTAGATTACAAAAAAGTAGGCGATGATAACAGGTGTTTTTTCTGTCAGGAAATAATTGTTACTTACACATGTTGATTTCCCTCTGTATTTGATATGTCTTTGAAGTCTTAAGAACTGTAACTTCTCCTGTACTACCTCTTCTACCAATAGCATAGCCTGGGGTGACAGCCCACTTGATCCTTCGCCTTTCTTCTTTTCTCAGGAAATGATTACCACAGTTATTCTCGTGTCAATTTTAAACAGTGATTGGTGAGGCAAGCCTTTCTGAGCTGTTTTCAACTGTAAGGAATGCCTGCATCTAAATTTCAATAAGCCAAGGGCCCTCAGGCTGGAATGATATTTTCCCAAGCTCTTTTTCCAGCAAGATTTGAACCTGTATAAATCACCCAAACATGCACATTGAAGCGCACACAACTTTACCCTAAAATACACTGAAATACATTAGCATACATAGGAGAGGCGTTTAATTTAAAGCTTTAATTAGACAACTTGCAGAAGATAAGCTGATTTTCACTGTCATCTACAGGGTTTTTCTGGCTGAACAGTTTGAGTTCCTCCAGTCTCATCTTGACACAATGATGCCCGCAGCCAAGAAACCATTTCTCCAACAGTTCTATTCCCAGGTGAGACTCCTGGTCTTTAATTCCTCGTTAAAAAGCTCTTTACTATTTAAAAGCAATTACAGATTTTCCGTTTTAGATGGAAATGATTTGCTTTTTTTTGTTCTGTATCAGGGAAAGAAAATAAAAATAGCCTATTGGTTTCATATCCCAGTTGTCATTTCGTTTAGTGTTTGTGTAGATGTTATTTTTTTTTGTAATATGCTCTCTTTAGTGTAATGCAGTTGTGGAAAACTGTATAAATGTTATTAGCCTACTTGCCAAATACTCACTTATACCATTTTTGTTACAGACCATATCCACTGCCAGTGAGCTACGAAAGCCTATTTACTGGATTGTGGCTGCCAAAGCCATCGATTACGAACAGATGTTGCTGCTAATGGCCGGTGTAAAATGGGACATAAAAGAAATTATGTCACAACACAATGTATATGTGGATGTGCTTCTAAAGGTACAGTACTGTTTTTCAAGTCAATGAGAAGTCTGACATTTTAAATTGAAATACCGTTAAACTAAAGATAATGTGTTTTGAAAGATTTGGGCACAAGTATTTATTCAAGGTACGGTACTGTATATGCATGATAGATCAAGTAGATACAGAAGCTGCATCAGCGTGAAGAGGCTGCTAGGCTGCAAAGGAACAGGTATAGGTTTATTCCATTCTGAAAAGAGAAGAAATGAAACACAAGGTTTCGGCTGTGGAGCCTTCTTCAGGTGGGTTATTGATTCGATAACTTTGTGTAATTGATTTATCCAAGTGGAAAGTTACACCTGTAGAATGTTCTACAGGCGAAATGTGTTTCTTTTCTTCTCTTTTCAGCATGGAATAAACCTTTAGATAAGATGGATAAGACTTTATTAATCCTGTAGGGAAATTGATGAAATTGATTTACTTGTTCCTTATGAATGATAGATGCTAACAGTTACTCAACAGGACTGTGTAATTAGTTTTAAATTATTGTTCAAGTACACACATTTGCTTTTTAAGATGTCTTTAACAATGAATCATCTTTTCTTAGAAAATTCTGCAAACAATGTCCACATTTCTGGCAAGCCTTTGATTTCAGAAATAATCTTACAGTTCAGACACTGTTTGTCTCGGCAACAGAATCCCATTTCAGAAAGCAGGCATTACAGCAATTGCCTGCTGCCCGTTTCATTATATTTTACTGCTGTCATTGTTCCGGTATGTGTTGGTTTGTATTCATTCTGCCCATTTAGAAGATGAGTTCAGTGACAATAATCATTTTTTAAATTATTATACCAAATTTGTCACTTGTTAACCCCTTGGGTGAAAGACTAATTTTTATTTTCAAATGTTATGTTTTCAACCTTGGTTTCCTGTAAAATGATTTCCTTAGAGTTCTTCCCCTTATAACCCTTGTTAACTGATGCTTGCTTGCTGATGCTGAACTTTTTAGCCTTAAATCAGTACAGATTTGTAAATTAAAACAGCCGTTTCAAAGATGTTTATCAGTTGTTGTCTTAGATTCTATATTAACAACTAATTCTTTTTAAAACCCAGTTCCTCATAAATTCAGCATAATTTTGTTTGTATTGTTTTCAGTATACATCACTCTCTGCAGGATGTTGAAATTGAAAAAGACCTCTGTTTAAAGCTACAAAGACCAAGCACATCATCTACATTTAATGTGGATTAAAAGGGCTTGGGTATCAATTATTAGTGATGGTTTTAAATAATTTATAGTGAGTGGTTTGGGGAATTAAATGCAGATTTGCAAGACATTTAAGGATTTGTGAAGAGAAGAGAGTTGTTTTCCCTTAACTATTACTCAGTTCTAGGTCGTTCAACTTAAAATCTTTATTCATGCTTTCAGGTCATTCCACTATGTGTTTCGTGTGGGAATGCATGATATTTTTTGCATGACTGAAGCATATATAAGGAATATGAATCAGAAGGGACAGCTAACATTGTGATAGATCTCATTGAAGCTTATTGGTTTTGAAGGCAGACGAATTATGAAATAAATATGCATTTCATGCAATCTATTCTTAAATGGAGTTAAGGCCTTTCCTGAAAACTGCTAGTTACACAGTCCATTGAACAGAAATCACTGACAGGTAACTGAAAAATAAAGGCATAACACGAAACACAGATTTTATTGTGCTGTTTTGCTATGGTTAAAAAAGTTCTCTGAATTAAATTCTAGTAGATTCATGGATAACAGTCTTAAATACAACAGTTATTATTAAAGTTATATATTATAGTTGTATAAAATGTGTGTTACTGTCAACAAAAAAATTATAGGTATTACTATAAATTACTTTTTCTTCTGAATGTTACTTTCCCTTAATTCTCTTTTACTGCTGTAAAATGGTTTAAGAATCAATTGTTTTTAGTGCAGCAGTAGATATAATGATCTAGGTGATGATTTAGTCTTTCCCAAAGTAGCAACTAAATAAACTAACAAGTACAATACATAAAATAAAATAGCTCTGTCTCAGATACAGCAGTGGAGTCTAAATGAATGTTTCCCAAGTTTCTCGCAATGTTACTTATTTTAAAAGCCTTGTTGAACATTGAAATTTTGCAATTCATACTTAGCATGCCCCTTAAAACACAGTTATTCATATATACAAATCTCTCTGTCCCAGAAATGGTAAATATCTAATGCACGCTTGCAACCAAAGGAGTTAATAGTTAGAACTGCAAATATATTTCTGGTGTTTGTGTTTAGTTAGTTTACGTTAGGGAAAATTGCAGCTGAAGTACTGGGGATCCATTTATATAATACAAATAATGGAAAAATAATTAAACTTAAGAAATCTCAGATGCTCTCCCTTTTAATTCTCCAATTAAAGTATAAATATGTAACAGGTATGTAACATTTAGGGATCTTACTCATGGGATTTTATGGAAGTTAATGTAGGTTAAAGCAAAGATGTATTGCAATTTCTTACAGAATATGAAAATAAATCCAGATTGACTGGGGACAACTGAAATTAATTCTATTGGAAAAATAAGTAATTTTTCATTTGTAACAAAGGCAGTTTTGAACAAAAGCTGTTTCTTAGTATTGTAGTTAATATATCAATTATATATAAGTGGCTATAGATTTACTGTAGGAAATAGCTGTTACTTATTGAAACCCAGTTTTACCACTAGGAACCACTGGAAAAATAAGGGTTTTAGAAACAAAAGGGCATAAACACCTTTTAAAATACTGAAATGCACTGTGAAATTCAACGTTTGATCGACTTTCACTAACATGATAAAAATGCATGATTTCTCAGATTTAATTCTAATATAAGGTACGTTATACAGTAGGCACTTTTCCCCAGAAACAGATTGCAGTAGTTATAACACTTCCGACAGGGCATCCTATGTAGTAAAAAATAAATTTTACTTGGATACTGCGCTGATAATAAACTTTGAGATTTATATTTCATACTTTGTCTTCAACAAGAAAACCAAAAGAGATTGTGCTCAAGTGAGACAGAGCAGCTCCAGAAGCGTACATTTTTTAAAGTACCTGGGATCACAAAGATGTTAATACATTTCATCATAATGCCCCAGCTGGTTAAATAAGTTATGTTTTGAAGGGCAGTCACCTCTGGCACACAATTTAGCAGCTGTTTTTGTAGCAAGTAAACCACACAGCTTCTAGACCATAGAAGCAGCTTGTATCGTGAGGTGGTGTGAAAGGCTCTTATTTATTAACTGCTCTATTTGATACTGGGAATTTAGTTATTGACAGCAGTGTTACAGTCCTCTCAAGACCAGCAAGCTTCACCTGGTTAGTAACAGGAGACTTCGAAGTAAAATCAGGTGACTGCTGTAAGTATTGTTAGTGGACCAGTAGATGGCGCACTGTCCTCTGTACTGGAATTTTCCAAAATCAGTACCCCACTACATGAATGGATGACTAGGTGGTTCCTTTTCCTCTGGATCAGAATTACCAGAAAAACGTCTCAGTATAGTGACAGGACATACTGCAATAGGGAGGTGGCATCTTTTCAATGAGATGATAACCAAGGTTCTGACTGCTTGGTCATTGAAGATCCCAATAAAGAGACTGAAAACACTAGAGTGTTAGTCCCAATGTTCAGGCTATTGCACAGTCTGGCCTTCCTGACGTTTCCCCTTACTTCTGTTAGTGAAACAGTTTCTCACTACCCTACCTGGCACAGAATGACTGCTGTCCATCACCTACTGGACTGTGCTGCATTTGAAGCAGTTCCCCCACTGCTTTGTGTGCTTTTGGGTATTTTCGGTATTAAAGGCACTATATGAATGCGAGAAGTTCCAAGTATTGCTAAATACATATAATAGATATATAGTATGTATCTGTTAATTCATATTGTTCAATATTATGAGAATTACAACTACACTTACTGAAAAGATGGGAAGCTTGACCTGTGTTCATTTTTTTTTTTCTTCTAGGAATTTGAGCAGTTTAACAAGAGACTTGGAGAGGTTTCTAGGCTTGTTCGCATACCTTTGCCGGTCTCCAACGTCTTGTGGGAGCACTGCATTCGACTGGCTAACCGAACTCTTGTGGAGGGGTAAATCTGTTCTTCCTTGACATTGCAAATCGCCCCCTCGATCTAGCAGTGACAAATCTCTGCGGCACTGAGGCCTGCATTTTCATTTTCTCCAGGAGCTCCCGTTTTCTTCCCCTCCCAGAGGCATGCTGGCTAGGCTGTCACTGAGTGTCCTGTCCAGGGTGTATGTCCCACTTTGCACTGAGCAGCCTCCTGCTGATGGATGGGAAAACCCAAATAATCAAGAGAAGCTGTTGGCTGCCATCTTTTTTTAAAACTTCACATTTCTGTTCTGAAGATCTGAATTAAACAGGGGTTGTAGCCTTGTTCTAAAGAACATCCCTGAAACAAGAGTGACATATTTATGAAATACTGTAGGTCATATCTTTAAGGAGCTATAGTTTAGTTAATCTCTGAAGTTAGTTTACCATAGTAACCTACTGTAGGAGGTTTTTTGTAGCATAAAGAGAGAGAACCCATGGCTGACTGTCACAATTGACTGACATTAGTGAGTTGCCTCATTACTGTTAAAACACTCATAACCTATACATTAAAAAAAAACAAAAAAAATCCAAAATAAAATCTAAAATAGAAAACAGAACAAATCAAATTTACAATAAATACAAAACACAAGCACTGATACACATACAGTATGAAGGCTTTTCTTACTAGAACCATAATGTGTTCTTAAGTTAAATTTAGAAGTTTTTATATGCCTTCAAAACATTTTTATTTAGGAAAACAGAATACAGTTCATGATTGAAGGTTCTGAGGTGAGGTGCAATATTTGTCATAGCTTTAAATGACATTTGTGCTATTTATCTACAAAAACAGCAAGATACAACCCAAATCTGAATTAATTAAATACAAACCATAATGTATTGTGTTTTTCTGTTTTCATTATTAGAATCTATGTTAGTGAAATCCACAACGGATAAAGTCTTTTGGTTGCTTTTCAGTCTTTTTTCTTAAAAAATGATGCCAAATTAATCTATATCTGATGAATATCTCATTGGGCTTTTGCATTGTATGTATAGTCTGAAAGGTCAGCACACTGTTAACACAGTCCTGCTGTCTTTTTTCATTACAGGTGATAGAATGTTGTTGCACAGACTCGTTCAGACTTTATACCCTTACCTAGTATATAGCCTTTTAAGTACTGGAACACATTCGTGTTCATTTTTGAATACTAAGGAAAGGTCAACGGCTTTATCCTCAGGAGAACTTATAAAGGTCAGATATCGAATGTGCCAAGTGACCCTGGCAGTTTGCCTTTGCATTTAATTAAATCCCTTTTATCTGCAAGTAGTGTGGAGAAGAGGAGGCTTATTCAATATGACAAAACCGTTTTTGCCTTTAAAAACAAGAGACATGAGTGAACCTGAAAGGCTGCTGTTGACATTGGAGTGAAGTC